ATTATCATTTAAATTGTGTATATAACTGGCATTTTATAAAATTCAATTCAATTTTGATATAGCCTCACCAGATTTTAATTTGTTATTCATTACAGATACTGATAAGTCTTTTTTCCTCTATTGGCATGATTATTACATTCTGTGTATAAATTTATACATCAGGTGATGAAAGTGGTAGGCCAAATAGCCCTAACATTTTCATAAGATCCCCAAACAACTTTGTATGAGTCAATTTGGAATGAAGGATTTATGTACAATTCAGAAATATTCAAATACTGTATACAGGAAATTTTTGCCCCTGTTTTTTGCCCTACTCACAGGTGAGCGAATTTAAAACAGGGCAAATTCAAAGAACACTTATTTCTTCATCAGAACTGTAACTGGGCGAATTTAAGATGGGGCAAAATTATTTGCAAGTGTGAAAGGGTGAAAATAACACGGGACGAAAATAACCTGTATACAGTATTACTGTATATTACTGGTATTTTCAAAATTTTTTGTTAATGAAAACCATATGTGTATAGGTAGATCTATCATATCATTAACATCTGCTAACTCATTGACATACCGGTATCTGCATGTACACGTGTTGTATCTATTAACCAGTGATGTAAAAATTCCTATAGCTACATTTATTATTGAATTATCTGGGTATTGTATCATTTAAACATTGAAGGTGATATATCTTACTTACATGAATTTTTAAAATTTTAGTTTTTCTAACTTGTCTAAAGCTTATGTAAAGCCAAAGATAAAAAAAAAAAATGCCATGGCTGTTAGTGGAGGAATTTGGAGAATTTTAACAGATTTTTGCAGCTTTTCTTACAGATCACTTTTTGACAGTTGGTGCACCTTCCTCTTTAACAAGGAAGAGGATTTTGACTCTTGAACATGTTAGTTTTTTTAAAAAAAAAAAAGAAATCATTTCAGAGTTTGTGTGAAAAGTGTTTGACATACAGAGAGTTCCCCTTTAAAGCTAACGATTATGATGCATTTTTCAAATACTAAGATTGAGGTAAAAGATTGCTTTTACATGTTTTATGTAAATGGAAAAGTAACAGTGTAAAATGGGTCCATGACTGATGCATAATTTGCTGTGTGTTGTGTAAAGAAAAGAATTTGATCTGTTGGATCAGAAAGAATAACTTAGGTACGAGATATATTTATGTATTATGTTCAGAAAATATTAATCATTACAAATATTAATTTTAAATCTAAAATTATCTGATCTTATTTGAACTGAAATATTGATTTATTTGTACTTCCTGTTACTAGTAGAAGGAAGGTGTTTCAAATTATCAACATGATCAAGGAAGAGTCACATAGCATCTGTTGTACGGATAGGAAAATACACGTCATAAAGAGAGGACCCTATATTAATAAAATGTTATACAATGTCATATGTAACAAAGTTTGTGTACAATAAAACACACTTACAGCGAACATGCTTATAATGAATTAACGCTTACAGCGAAGTGAGTTTCATACAAACTTTAAAAGTATATTGTAATTTTATGGATATAATGAAATATGCTGATAGCGAAACAATATTGTCCCGTCCCTGGCACTTCGTTATAAGCATGTTTTACTGTATTCCTAAAATTCGTGAACTTACAGTAGATATCTTCAAATGTCTTTGTACATGGGTATATAGTCATATTAATTAATAATGATCTTGCAGAACTAGAAGGTAGAGTCTCTTGTGCTAATTTCATTTTAATTCCACAAATACATTCATGAAATATAATGTACATTAAAAAATTTAGTCCTAAGACCTTAAAACATTTTAGATCTAGGGTTGGACACCAGTTAACATGTACTTGGTTTTCATACCGTACCAAATAGTTGTTTTGAAAATACTGGTAAAAATAGTGTTTTATTTAATACCAGTTGTAATATTGGTATATATAATACTGTTATTTTAATGAATTCGAATTAATTAACAAAACTGAATACTTTCAAAAATAGATAACCACAAGATCAAATTTTACAAAGCATATTGTATGGTTATATTAAGTAATGAAATAAGGCATACTGAGCCTCACTTCTTGAGTTGCCCAACTTTTCAGTTAATAATTGACAAACATTCTTGTACAAATTTTAGTAAAGTGCACATTGATTTTTGTATGAATCCCCTTGGTGACTTTTTACTATGATCCTTGTATGGATATAAAGAATCTGTTAAACTCAAGGTCCCTTTTGACTTCCATATATTATTAACCAGGTTTTACTGTAATGTGGTCAAATAGCTTATTTTGAAATAAACTACCATCATGATTTTATTCCTGCTACCAGATGAGTTACTGAAGAGATTTTAGTGGCTTTTAGAACTTTTATGTGACAAAATACCATTTATCTTTTTTTATCCTAATCAAGTGCACTTCATATTCTCTAGGAATGAAAATATGACTAATTGGGGATGTCTGTGGAGTCGCACCAAGATTTAAGCTCAAATTTATTGTCATACAAGTTGGAACATTTTTGTGATGCAGTAACTCATATTTTTCTCAACTTGATGGCTTTGTATGCTGAATTTTCAATATTTATTAAAATTAAAGGTATTAATGAAATTAAAATAGTTGTTGCAGGATGATAAAATTCCAGAATGATTTATGAATAAAAAAGTTAAAGAGTTTCTTGGAGGTTTAAAAAAAATTTGAGTCTGGCCATTTTTAGCCATTCGGAGGAAGACGGCAAATAATTTTTTAAAGATGGCCTAATTAATTTGGGCTCAATTAAAAAAAAAAATAAAGGTCAATAAATCAGGTTTATTAATTAAGCAATAAGATTTTAAGGCTTAATAAGCAATAAGAGTTTTGAGAGGACCTGAATGACTTTGCAATTTTTCTTTTCTTTAGTTTTTTAATTTTTATTTTTGACATTGTTGGTGCATTTGCAGTTGAATATATTTACACATTATTTGCTGTGTATTGTGTGGGCATGAAAGACAGGAATCTATTTTGAATTCATAAAAAAATATTGATATTTGACCAGAGGAATTAAGCAAACAGTTTCCATGCACAGAAAGAAAAAAAGTTTTACTTGTCATTCCTGAAAGGGATTTTACATGTAGTATCAATGTTCTGACTCTGCTTGTGTAATAAAAGATACTTGAAAAGGGGCCAAGTTATGAATTTGATATTAAATGTTGCCAAAGCCTACATTTTATGCAGAGGAATTGAATTTCAGTAGGCTACAATTGTAGTTACCTTTCAATTTTTAAGGTGAATCTTTGTAGACAAACAATGTTAGTGGAAACCTCGGTGACTTGTGATGTCTGGATAATGTTTAATATGTTTAACTTCTCATCGTAGGTAAACTATCATTGACACGAAAAAGTAAGCTAATGGAATACCATCAGCTATATTTAGACATAATTTAAAATTTATAGTATGTATAGTAAGATTTAATAATCATAATTCATGTTTTTCGTGCCATTATTTGTGGTGCTTATATAGAATTGCTTAACTCTGAAATAAAACCCTTGTGGTTGGTGATTATCATTTATTGTGAAGAGGAAGTCATATTCTGTGTCAGTCTTGGTGAAGAGATGGTGCTTACTGCTTGCACTAAATCAGTGCATGCATTGTTGAAGGTTTTTTTTGTAATTGAATCTTTTAATATGATTTAATTAAGAGCCATTTCCCAGCCCTCCCTTCCTGCAGGCCATTATTATGTAGTTCCTGTCTCATATATCCCAACCGAAATAAAACCTTAATATGCAAATCAAGAACTTTCTAAATTTCAAAACTGAGAGCTGAGGTGTAATATAAGCTTTTTATGATTTAGAAAAATATTGGTTGTGCAATGTCATTAGAATTATTGGATTATAATGAAGAAATAAACTTACTGTATTGTTTGGGGATTAAGGTCTGAGCTTGTGACAGCCTGTTGTCTGTGTGGTCTGTAGTTTTTATTCTGTAGTCATGATTCTTTAATTACAGAACATGTGGATTTAGTATATAGACTTAGTATGTGACATTTCATCTGTATGTGTTAATTTTTCATGAAACAAAACTGAGTACATGTAAATGCAGTGCATTATGTACATTTGACATAAAGTTAGCAGAAAAAACAAATGTGATTAAGTTTTCAGTTTCTTTGTATCTGCAGTAATTAATTGGATTTTGTAGAGTTTTATAATACTGGTATGTGTTAATGCATCCATGTTTGAGATGATATTTTTAAATTTGTCTATTAAACAGGATTTTTACTCATGCAGTCTTGCTTTAAGGAATTTCTGTTCATCACACTCATATCATGCATTTGAGGATAAAGGTGTTGATTACATGGTCAGTTTCATTTCTTTGTTAAGTCTTTGATAAAGATTTATTTTCTATGCTAATTTTTCAGCTTTTTTTTCAGTCATTTTCCTTTAGAGAAGTGGACAGGCTTTTGCATAGGCAAAAGCGTGCATGTCCACGTCTCTAAAGTGATTGTATAGGATACCTGTATGTCCATGATCTTATCCCTGCTTTTTAACATTATGTGTGGGAAGAAAATTTGCATTTTTTATCAACTTTCTGCATTGATATGGCATTTTATCCACAAGGAAATGATTGATGTGTCATGATCAATTTTACATCTGCTATTTGAATACAAGGTGCATTGTGGTACACTGAATACCAGTAAACTACACAGAAATTCACAGTGAATTTTACATCCTCTTAAAGTTACAAACTCATTTCATTCAATGTATCTTTTATTCATAGGAGAGTCAGCGTATTTTGAAATGTATAATAAAAATTGTAATTTTAGAATGGATATGATTCAGATTTTTTTTTTCCAGAAGGGAAGTTGAAGTCTCAAATGTTCTCAGTGCTGTTGTGTGAATACTTGGACATTTACTTTGACATTGACAAGAGAAATTTAAATCTTGTAGTGTTATTTTAGTACATGTGTCTTCAACATTCTGGATAGACAGTGCAGTAGCCTCAGAAATTTACATTTAAGGCTACAGGTATTGAAATTCTTCAATTTTTTTTTTGTATTTTCAGAAGATGAAGTGAACAGACCATGGAATAATGTTAGAAGGAGACAAATGACAATCAATTCCCTTTGAAAACAGAAGAAATGGGGACTAACTCCTCATTCCCGGAGGGATCTCCCCCGGGTGGCAGAATCCCTGCCTTCAACAGACAGACTCATGCATACAATTTGTCTGATTCCGACCTTAGTGCCAGGGAAAAGAAGAAAAAGACTTCAAAGTTAACAACGCTTAGAAAGAGGCTTATTCGATCCAGGCGACATAGTCGCTCAATGGATTATGGGAAAGCTTTACGAGAAATGATAGCAACATGGTCAATTCGAGAACTCAAAGCTCTCATTCAGGAATATGAAGTTTTGGTGGCACTTAAGGAATTAGCCATGGCAGCCAATCTTGCTAGACCTGTCGCAAATTCTTTGAAAAAGGATTTAGCAGTGTTGTTTGATTCTAAATGTTGTACAGATATTGACCTGGTGTATAAGGGAGCCTGTTTCCCTGCTCATCGTGCTATATTATCAGTGAGGAGTCCTTATTTTAGGGATCTGTTAAATCGGTATCCAGGGGTGGGTTGTCAGATTCCTGTTAAACTACGTACTATTGGAGTGGATGTTGCGTTATTTGCTACAGTTTTGCGATTTCTTTATACTGATGAAATCAATTCTCATGATCTGCGTCCAGATCATCAAGAGACTTTGGCTAAGTTGGCAGATGAATTTGGTGTTCCAAATGCTTTGGAGCATGATCTGAGAGTTTTATTAGATTCTGGGAACTATAGTGATGCTGTGCTAGTGTTCACTTGTGATGGAAATTGTACAGACTCTTCATCTGAAAATGAAGCTCCATGTAAATCCGTGCTACATGAACTAAGGTGCCATAAAGCAATATTGGCAGCTAGGTCACCATTTTTCAAAAATCTGCTGATCCGAAGAGCAAGATCAGGGGAGGATCAAGGTTTAAACACACAATCAAAAATAGTGCTAGATGAGACAATTATTCCACGACGTTATGCCAGAGTGCTGTTGAACACTATATACCAGGACAGTGTGGACCTGTCACTGATATTAAGGGGAAGTGCAAGCATGTGCAGTCTTAGTGAGGTACAGGCGATTGTGGCAGGGCGGGGACAGATGACACTGATAGAGGAGGCAATGGAGGTTTACCAAATAGGGCAATTCCTGGATTTCCCTGTTCTATCTCAAGGTTTGTACCCAAATTTTACAATAATGTGCTTTTGATCATTTATATAATGTTCTAAATGTGTTGTTGCATTTGTCCTTTTTGATGAGGACCAACTTAAATTCAGTATATTGTTATGATCAAGATGAATGCCGTGTTTAGAGAGTTTTTTCTGATTGTTAAAGTATGACTGAGTGAGTGTGGTGTGCATGTTTTTTTGCAAGAATATTCAGATATACACTGTAGTACCATTGTAAAAGCAAGCTGAATTTTTTCCACAGATTTACCCTGATATTGAGCACCTCTAGCCCTCTTCCTGGACTCTGTTAATATAAAAATATCACATTTTATTCAAATCTGTAAAATTATAATATTTGTTAACACAACTTGATGTAGATTTCTATGAATATTTTTGATTTCCAAGGTAGAAGGGGGGTTCTTTTTTCAGCATTTTATATTAAATTTGTTTTTAGAAAAAACATTTCTTTATTTAATGTACATATATTTAAGGTTGTGAGGATATAATTGCTGAGGGTATTTCCCTGGACAATTTGATCAGTGTGTTGTCATGGAGCTCAGAACCCCATGGGTCAAAGTGGGTCCATAACCAGGCTCTTCATTTCATCCGCGAGGAATTCCTCCAGGTTGTGCACTCCTCGGTCCTCACTGAACTGTCTAGAGAGTACCTGAAGGAGGCCCTGGCCTCGGACTTTTTACAGGTAAGAGCTCAAAAATAAATCTAGTATGAGTTGGTATTGTAGCACAGTTGCAGACAAGTCCTTTCTTGCTTTCCAAAAGTACATGTAAAAGCACATTCAAACATTTTGTGAAAAGTATCATTTGCAGATCTGGTCAGAAGAGTATATTGTAACTAGGGATGTCAATTTTACTTGGACAGCTTAGTTGGATAGTCGGAGGCTTTAGTCGAACGATAGTCAAGTACTCGTTGAAATTCAAATTAATTTTTCATTTTATTTTTCATATTTGTCTTTAACAGACTGCTAGCCTATACAATATTTAATGTACACTATGCTATCACCATTATACAATGAATTATTGAATCGTTAACATTTACGTAGTAATAAATATATGTATCCAATGTATTTGATCAAATATAATATTTACTGCACATTTTATCTATTTACAGATTATTAAAATCAAACGCTCGCATTTATTCTTTCTTTTCATGCTGCTAGTACATGTACCCGTTATTGATTTCTTGCATGAAACCATTTGAATGTGTTTTGTCAGTGACCCGTGATTGTTAAACAAAGCATAACTCTTATAAAAACAAATAGAGCTTCCGATAAATTTTAATTACCCAGTATGCAACTTTTTGCAAACAATCAATACAATTTTAAAATGATTGTTATTAATATCAGAAAGAAACACACTCATAACTGTCCCCCAATTAACATGTATATACAAATATGTAACAGCTATTTAATTCTTCTTCATTAATTGATAGTTGCATTATACAAGATCTTACAGAATTGCAGGTTGAAACTTTACAATTTGGATCTGATATCTTTTAAAGTATGCCAATGCATGTTGGCCGAACAAAAAAAAAAAATCCTTCAAACTATTAACGAAGACCAGTTAAGCCTTTCCCCGAGTTTTACTCACGAGAACACTCAACACCCATACGTCAAGAAATGAACTGAGCAGATCCAATTTTTTTTTTACCTTGAATTTAAGATTACTATTAAGGAGCAAATTTTTTAACAAATAACCGACTAAAAAAATTTAGTTGATAGTCGATATGATTGAACGATAGTCGAGTACTCGAATATTCGTTGACATCCCTAATTGTAACACTTATACCTAAAATATCAAAACTAGAGATTTTTATTCCCCACCATGTATATAACTGGGGCATACTTTAAACCCACTTTTATTAGCATGCAAGAAATATCCACAAGTTTCTCCCATCTTTTACTCAAAAATATTTCTTGCCAAGAACCATTATTTTAGTTGTGTATTTATGTAGAATGCTTCTTTAGTTGTGAAAATTAATTGTCACAGATCGATTTCAAACCAACAAAGAGTGAATAAAATAAAAAATGTCTTGAATAATAGTGGTTTACAGTATAGTGTTTGCCATATCCGTCTTCCATTCTTCCATCATCCATTTGCCTGTACCTCACTTTTTGTTTTGATCAGTTTCGAAGAAACTGTTCAAAATTTTTATCAAACTTCATATAAAATTACATATTGGTGAGAGCACTTCAACATGGTCATAGTATTCTGTCTTTGACCTTCCCTATGACTTTGACTTCACTTTTCATCATTTTGCCTTTACCTAAGTTTCCAAGAAACTGTTCAAGATTTTTTCATTAAACTTCTGACAAAAATACAAATTGGTCAGAGAAATTCAAGGATAAAGTTGACCTAATGTATTATTGCTACTGTAGAATTATGTGAAGTAATACAGATTATCCCTGTTAGTATTTTAAATATGCTGTCATGGAAGAGGTTGAGGGTGAAAATGGACACGGTGAATATTTAGTTACTTTTTATAAAAAAAAACCCTGATTAAGTTTTTTTAATCAGTGACGTGACCATGATGACAATGACTTTGAAAAGGTCATTTTTACTTGTTTCAGAGTAGTTGAAGACGTATTTCCTCTATTACTTGTCATGTGATGTTTGGTGGAAAAACATTCTCTCTCTACTAGTAACTTTCTTCTCAGCCAAAATGATTTTTTCCTCAGCATGTTGTTCCAGAGGTTGTTGACTAGTATGAAGCGTTCATTCACCTATTTATTACTAGTAATTTCAGTCTTGTTCTGTAACTCTATATGTGCTGTCATTATTTTTCAGTCTTATGAGTAGAACTGCTCATTTACAGCAATCATCAAATCAGTAACACCATTACCACAGTGTTCTTGCTGTGCATTATTGAATATGTTCATTGATTACCAGAAAAAAAAGTCTGGTACTCCAGAGTTGTATCAGCTTAAAAGTAGAAGGTTACACAATTGTAGAATCCAAATTTCTAGCTACTACATGTATAGCATGGACTTACAATTGGCAAATAAAACAAAGAATCTTAGTCATAACAATTGAACATATAATTTGCAGATTGTATGATGAAGTTGGGTTGTTGAGCAGTTAGTACAAAGCTGTGCAGCCAAGTCTTTATACATATAGGTTTAGTATATAATGAGTTAAACACTTGTATTGCTTCATTGTAGGCAGGTGAATTGGACATTCTGTCGGCCATTATCAAGTGGGGAGAGAATCACTTAGTGAAGAGATTGGAGGAAAGAGGTAACATCTTCAGGGACTTATCTGCAGTAATACACTGTTAAATTATATACTTAAGACATTTATAAGTTATGATTTGTATGTTTCGGAAAAAGATTTTTAAAAAAAGATTATCTTTGCCTATCACACTGTAAGTAGATGATAAGGCAGGTTAAATCACATTGAACAAAATTTAGAGAGTCTGTCATAACCTCATTTAATTTATAGACATTTTGATTTTATTCTGGAATTTTTTTTTCACAGAGCCCAACTTACTTAGCCATACAGCACACAGCATCAGTAAAAAGGGTGTTAAGAAACGCGATCTCAATGATGAAGAGTTAAAGGATATTCTGTCAGATTTCCTGTGCTTAATAAGGACGGATCATATCCTACCCCATAACAGTGATGTTCTCAACAGTGCAATAAAACGAGGGCTTGTCAGTCGACCGCCCAGTCACATGATTGGAGATGAGGGTTTTGTAGTACCGTCATCATCCTGGATACGAGGAAAAAACAATGGCATGTTTGTTAGACCCCGATTGTTTGGTCCATATTATGAAGATGCTAAGGTACTGAAGTTCACACTGGAATAAAAAGGAAATAATATGAAATGTATTTTTAAAATTAGGGATTGTAATTGTTGTTTTATTATGATAGTTCAGTTAATTTTGAACATAAAAATCTGAATAATAATTTATGGAAATTTTTGTAACACATCTACCTACAAAATATATAATCTGGAAAAAAATAAAAATAATAATCATTTTTTGTTGAAAATAATGTGAACTTGATTTGATGCCAGGCTGTATTGGAAGAGCGGCTCTCTCAGGGTCCGGATCAGGAATCAGGGCGTGTCAGAACCATTCAGATGTCATCTATACCAGACACGTTGTACATGGTAGATAATAGCCAGTATCCCAGCAACTACGTCAACCCTCCTAGCTGTAACACAGTGGACATCATAGCAGGAACCATACCAGGTAACTCAGTCTGGAGTCCATTGAGCTGTTTCTTCATAGGTCTGTTAGGAAGGATGGAAAATTATTAAAAAAAAAAAAAAGATCCCCAAATTACAGATTTTTTAATTTTGAGTTTATAAAGTGTTATTAAACAATCCCAAAAGTAATGTAGTACACAAACACTGATGATAAATGCAGAAAAAATATCTTAAATATTGTACAGTGTACTTAAATTTATGTTTTAAAAAATAATTTTTGTTTTTCTTTCCTTCAGTACCTGATAATGCCACAATACACAGAATGTTGCACAGAGAAAGAGAATTACAAAGTAGTCCCACTGCCCAGAGAGCTCTGAGCCTGCCATTAAGTGATCGTCGGGCTGTCTCCTACCAGCTTCGCCTGAGAACAGTCCGTGAATTTGGACTGCCAGACTCCACAATAGAGGTGCTGCAGAACACTAATTCTTACTACCCTCCAGATCCACTACCTCCATCTCTCCCAGCAAAAACACATTCACTGAAAAAGTACCTGATATCTCCACGAAGACGCAAGCAGAGCCCCCCTCTCAGTAAGAGGACCCCCTTGGGGAGCCCCACCAAGCCTGTACAGTGTGTTCCTCCCACTCGCTTATCACAAGGGGCGTCAAGAGAGGTAAATTCTGTATATTTACTATGCTGTGAAATTTTTTATTTTGTTAAGAAATTTGATTACTTCGTACTCATAGAGATTATTATAGAATAAGCACCATTTGGACATTCATTATGCCATATACAGTAAAACATGCTTATAGTGAACTGCTGGGGACCAACAATTTTGATTTGTTAAAAATGTAATTGTTTATCTGTTAAGTTCACAATAAGTTTTAAAGGACGGGGAATGAAAATAACTTTGCTGTAAGTGTGAATGCATATTCCATATAACCTTGTTTTACTGTACTATGAAAAAATACATGATGTTGTGAAGGACAGAAATGTATTGATTAAAAAGTGAAACATATTTTGAAATTTAAGGCAATACCACAAAGACTACACTAATTATGTTCTAAATGTTGTACTTACTGATTTATGTGAAAAGAGGAATAACTCTTGTAATACATGTTTTTCAGACTGACTTGAGTCCATGTAGTGACAGTGCCTTAAGTGACACCATGCCAGACATTGCAATGGCTTCAGCTTCACTCAGTCAGATCAACCTTCAGGATGAGTTTGACCTTGACATTGGAGATAGAGGGAGTCACCATGGCACACTGTACATTTAATGTATTTTTGTGTCACATGACTGGGATTGTTTTTTGTCTTATTTATTACAGACTAGAGTTACCACCTCTGTGTTATTTATTATCCAAAAAAGATTTCTATTTTTATTCTTTGTTGTCACATATCAGAACATTTCATTATATGTTGTAGTATTAAATCGTGTTCATTTCACTAATAACAAAATTGAATTTACAGTATCTACATAATTTGTTGATTTTTTAAAATTACCTCTGCATTGTGTTTATGCTAAATGTTTATCATATATTTAGTACAGATTCAAAATCAGCCAGCCTAAGCTATAGATTGAAAATTGTTTAAAAATATTTTTTTTATTTAGTAATGTTTAGTAGTTACCAACAATTTGATAAAGTTTAATGGTAAATTTACCAATTGTACACGCATGTTATAGTTACCAAATTCAAGAAGAACAGATTTTTTTTCTTTAGTTGAAAGTTTGTGAAGTTTTTCTTTTATCTGATTACTTTATCAAATAAAAAATATATTTTATTGGCAACTGTGATATCTGTGAAGTACAAAATCAGTGGAAAATGAACAGTGTAGAGCTGACTACATGTTATTTGTATATTTATCTGACACCAATATGCTTTGGCATACGTCCATCATATCTTGTTAGTGTTGTCATTTCCCTTCAAATGTTGAAATATTTTATACCATTGAATGTTTGGCTCAAAGAGTGCAGCAGAGAATATGAAGAAAAAAGTTACATTATTTAGGGTTCTGTAGCTGGAAAGAGCTCTAAATTGTTCTAATGTCTTCAAAAAATTCAGTTACATGTATTTGTTTGTGTTTACCTTGTGTTCAATGTTGCTCTTGTTTGTGAAATGTTGCACTTTTTAAGATTTTATCTTTAATTTTTTTTTTTTGAATTAATTTTCAGTCATAGTAGCTCAATCATTAGGGTAAAATCTTTTAAACTGATATATATGTACAAGTAGTTGATGATTTGAAACTCAATTATTTGATCTTGATTTTTTCAAATCTTGAACTAACCTGATCTATATTAAGCATCTGTTATAATGTGTCTGTATCTCTGGATATTTTTAAAGAAAACAATCATTGTAAGAAGACACAATCAAGTTCTCATCTGAATAGTATTAACAACAATGACTGAACTTTGGTTCTACTTCTTTACATTTTAAATGACACTGATGGGGTGCTGTAGGTTGCATAAAATAAGTAAGAAAGAATGATGTTCTGTGAAGTTGTTTACTGCTTTTTACATATATTAAGTAGCTGTTTTTGACACTAAGCTCTTATACATCAATTTCCAGACTGTGATACTGTTGAACCCTATTGTATTGTGAGAGTGAATTAATGTGATAGTATGTGTTATAATCAAACAATAATTAGTTTCTATCTATGTTTGTATTTTGGTCCCAGTTCTTTAGCAATGCTTTGTAGTATAATCTGATTCATTCATTACCATGTTCTTGAGAATGAAGATACACATGTTTATTTATTGGTGTGTTTTTCATCTTTATGTTCTTGGCTGTAACATTTTAAGAATATTTGATATAGATACATGATCTAATTGAAAGCCAGGAACTCAGGTTCATGTCAGGTCAAGGACAAATTAAGAAATCAGTAGTCAAAAGTTTTCTGCTACATTTGGAGGAATTATGTTCAACAGACATTTTATGTTCTGAATTTGAGTTTCTGGAATAAATAAACTTATGAATTCCATAATATACAGTTGAACCTTTTTTTTTTATCTGGAACATCTGTATGTGTAATATAAGAAAAGTGTCATAGCCAGTAGTTCAGGCTGTAACAAATAATTGATACACTGTATCTCAAAGTTTTAACACAGTTTCATGATGTTCCAGATAACAGGGTTTGACTATATTTCTTAGGTCTTATTTAACAGAGAAACACAGAACTTTTATTTAAACCTAGATTTACTAGTAGATGTATTTCATATTCATTGAAAACTTTTACTTACAAGTTTTCTTTCCACTTTTATTTGCACCGTCTGACCTTTGTGTTATGTTCGTGAATTACCCATATCATGCTATTAGACACTCAATTATTTCATTGTTGTAAATAATTGACAAATGTTAAAAATAAATATTATGAAAGATAAAATAGTTCAAGCAACTTGTGTAAGGTTCAATAAAATAAACTCCTAGTAAAAATCTATCAAACAAAACATAAAAAAAGGTTACATTGTAAATTTGCTTTAGATATGCTAAATATATATATATATATATATATATATATATATATATATATATATATATATATATATCAGCAATTTGGCTATTCTGTACATTTCCCAAAGGCATGTTTTGTATAACTTGAATTATGTAGAGAAATTGAGATATGAGAAATTTTACTTGTTCAAAGGGATAGATTATTGAAAAATTTTTGTAAGGAATATATGTTAATGAGAAATTTATTACGGATATACTTGCTGGCAAAAAAAATGAATTATTAGTTACACTTCATACATAATAAACCTATAAAATTTCCCAGGTTTATGGATTAATAAGAATACATGTATTTAAATATTATTTTCCCAGTTAACAGGGAAAATACCATTGTAGTTAATGTAGAGGGATTTGTGTGTGAACGGTACAGGTTTAGTTGAGGAATTAGAGGGCGGTAAGATATCGATTTCTAGCTAGTTGCTGACTCTGGAATAATTATTCCAGATTTAAATTGTTACCAGGATAATTAACTTTGAATAGCAGTTCCTAATTGATTGAGAAAATAGTTGGGTTTGTCAACTTTGTACAGGAAATAAGCTACCCCACGTTGACTAGTTCTTCAAGTGCATTTCATTTTTTGTCAGGTTAATTATTTTTAGTTCACCTGTAATTATTGAGAACTTTGGTTTCAGTATCCAAAACGTTCTGAAAAAATTAACTGTTTATGAATATTTAAATACACTGAGTAATAGACTAAATGTCAGGTACACCTTTTCCTGAATTCATGGCCATTTTTCTATGATTGAGTTTTAAAAAAAATGCATCTTGTTAGCTCTGTAGGCTTTTGACCCTCTTTTCTCAGTTCTAATGATGTATCTTGTATTATGTAGTCACCTGTGATCAGTCTTTCGTCAAAAACTTTATTTCTTTAAATGTCATTTTGTTGATCCCTCGCACAGGTGAGCGAAGAATATGTATATGGAAATGATGAATTAATATTAATGGCTCCATTTATTTTTGGGCCCTGGAGAAAGTGTCTTTTGTTTGCCTCAAAAGTGACAAAGGAGAGGGAGGGGAGTAGATTAAGGTCTACCCGTGTTGTTTTGGTATTTCATGATAACATTGAAAGGTACAACTAATGTGTTTCAGGGACTCTGATTGAACAAACACAGCATTGCTGGATAACCATGTAGGTTTAATTTCTCCATTTTGTTTATAGCCATAAATTCAATAGATGACACTTAGAAGTTGATAGGGGAACTAAAAGCTGTAAATCTGTGATATTGTCTATATACAATCGTAAATACGAGGAATAAGAAAATTTCTTGGCGGGATACCCGATTCTTGGCAGTCTCTCCAAAAAAACCATGTAACACAGAGGAATCGTTCTACGCTGCAAGTGCTCGACAAAGAAACAGGAAAGGAGAAAAAAAAAGTACACAATACGTGCGCATCTGGACATTTAAAAAGGATATCATTCTGTGTATTTTCAAGTGTGTTTAGCATGAGATCCTGATTACTTGATAAATTACGAGACTATTGGAAAAAATATTTAAATGGAAGAAAAGAAGAGAAAGTGGATTGTTTGAAAATCGGCAGACAAATATTTATAAAGAAGGATAATTTTACGTATTCTCATGTCAACCTGTTACAGACATCGATATCTCGAACCAAAAGTGATTTGTTTGTGCTTAACTTAATTGACAGCTGTACTATTGACATACAGGAGGCTTCTCATTAAGACATTAAACTGAATTCACGGAGTTCATTTTATCTTCTCTTAATTGTGAGGATGTCCGAGGATTTAGAGACGGAGGAACCCACCACCCCTGTTCCTCACGAGGAACCGGCGGAGGAAATAATCGGAGGATTTATTTATCCAAACATTTTTGACATTAATTACAGAGACATTGTTTCTCCGGCCGTGCAGTCGAATGTGGCCAAATCTATGAGATACGGAGACTCTTTTGGCATTATGATGTACCTTCATGACTTAAAAAAGAAACAGAGAGCTGCTGAGGATATAATGAGGAGGAAACTCATGTTGGAGGAGAGCAAAAGTGATTCTAAAAGCTCACAGTCTTTGGCGCACAAAATTAATCATAAGTACTACGAACCCTCTCAGCAAAATTGACGTTCAGTGAAACTATGATTTTGGATTCCATGTTGAGTTTTCATAACAGGACCTACAAAACTGATTGTAGAATTCATTGTGAAAGAGTATGTTTAATGTAACAAAGTATGGTTAGTATTGCAAAAGTCAACAATCAACACTTAGAATGCTGTAGGACAAAAGAACAGGGTTGTTTTTTCGGCGCCTTGATTCTCTAGCTTACTGACAATTGGCTTTATTGCTGTAGATAACGAACAATTGTTTGAATTCATACTTCAGCGTGAGGGACTAATAAGTAAATCACTTTTGTTTTTGAATTCAGAAGATAATAGTGTTCCTGCCACTGAAAAACTAATAAAGTTATTTAAATGAAGGAAAGTTTTGCGTGTACTTTAGTCATCTTTAGATATCTTATTGCGCTGTATATTTGTTTATGTATATCAAAGTATACGTGTTTTCATTGTCAAATGTTTCATTAACATGACAATTCTTTGTGTTCAAAAAATGCACAAGCAATATATGAAGGTGTTTTCTACATTATACAGTTCATAACACATCGATTGATTTTTCCATACAATTTATAAATATGTATTAATATATAGAAAGGTTTCTCTCTCCCCAGGGTATCGCGGAGATGAAATAAATATAATCTTTTTATATTTATAGATATTTAATCGGGCTTTATTGTGTAATGTCTGTTGTTAAACAACCTTTTCTCTTGTGGAATATGTACACAACTGATCAAGAGCAGCGACATTTCAAAGGGATAAATAGACGGCGAGCAAATCTTTTTATCACCCATTGGAATCCTATTAAACTTCTTATCTACCTTTTTTGAATATCTCATTGATAAATGGTCGGTAAATATTGAATCTTTTATTCATTTTGAAAATTATTTCGCTAGAAAAAGATGATACGAAATTTCTTTATTTATAAAACATAAATTTGTACTTTATTGTCCTTTGCAGACTGTCCCGTATTATCGTAGCATACTTTAATACGTTCTCCTTCATAAGTATGCAGAAATTATTAGTTGTCAATTTTGGAAATGCAGAAGTTATGTAGTCTGCAGAAATTCAGTCAGTTGAAACTGTATTTTTTTCATGCTTGCAAAACAGTTTATGATTTGTTAACGAAGAAGATGGGCAAATAAGCCGAGAAAAATACCCATGGTTCGACTGATGTTTCAAGGATTTTCACTCATATACCATATACCAGCGAAGGGCTTCAATTTAGACCTATACTCGACACTCAGGGCCATTGAGCAGTGAGTGTTCTTTATCGTGCCAACACCCACGTGACAGGGGACTTCGGTTTTTCAGGTCTCATCCGAAAGACCTGTGACTTTCACTTCTAATGCCGGACGCTTGGCAAAGGAACAACTCCTGCGTATGTACATGTATAATCTTAGATCTGAGGCAGCACGGCAAACAGAAATCGAATTTGGACCTCCCGATCAAGCGAACGCCCTACCACTAGGCTACCGTGACCGATCCCCATGGTTCGAAAAAAAATAAATTTTCAATCATAACAAAATTTTAGTTAACATTAATGTAAAACTTAATGTAAAAATTTCCAAAATTTGCTCAATCTTCACAAGTATTGATATTATCTATGAAATAGCACACACACACTAAAGAGGGTAAAAATGATCATTTGTTTTTACTTTAACATAATTTGTCAATATGAGTAGGGCTTCACTCCGTGTTTATATTCAAAGTGGAAGTATACATTTACTTTTCAAAAACATGAAGCACCCACTATACCTTAAAGCACACTTTTTATGAATCTATTATTTAAATTAAAGTTCTTATTATTGAAAGGTATGGAATTAGGACAAACAAAACTTTTATGCAGGAAATTCTTTTGGAAAAAAATAATTGATTTCTATGATAAAAAAGTGGGTTTTTTGGGGGTTCGAACCAAAGCAATAAAATTCAGAGTATCAGTCTTTTTCTTCGAGACTAACACGCTATCCACTTTACAGCTTATGACAGTTGGCGGCATTCATATGACCCTTGACCAAATGGTCTTCAAATATTTCTCGGAAATATACGAATGCTGTGTCATAAAATCTCAAAGTCAACAGGGGTCTTCTCTAAGTCATGGAAAGTTATGATACAAAATTTCCTTTTTAAAGCTCACAGAATTTTTTTTTTGAGATATTGTCTGGAAACTAAAGTGTTACAGACAGAATGAGATACAGGCAGATGGGCAGACAGATTTAAATTAATATCCTCGCCTTTAGCGAAAGTAGAAGACAAGAAGAGCCAGTTTTAAATTTCATTTACGGATACAAGGTACTTTACTGGCTTGATACCGCAGTTTCGATATCTAACAGGACGTCTAAACATAAATATTCTGATTTAACACTCTTCAGATATCGACTAAAATTTTACTCTTGTGTGGCCCTTATTTCGCAC